TGGCCCTATTATTCTTGTATTGCAGTACATAACTGAATGCAATGCTGCACATGGCTGAACCTAAAAACAAAGTACTTCTTCTGTAAACCAATATAAGACCTTTTAGACAACTACTTCAGTGATCTAAAAGGTCTTATATTAGTCTACAGAGGGAGTATATCTTAGTGTATTTTATGGGATTGCTCGATGAGTGGCTACATCAAATTTATTTTTACACGCAGGGCATATTTTTTAATATTGTAGCAATTTTATCCGATACTAATTATTCTTAACATCATTTGATGTATTTTACTCAGAGTGCAGATGTTTAGAGAATTTATTGAGTTAGACAAAGCATCAAGAAGAGCTAACGGTGAAGTCTCTGGGCCAGGTCCAGGATCCATCGAGATAGTCATTCGTCGAGGTCATATCGTTGAAGATGGATATAGGCAGTTGAATTGTCTTAGATCTAAGCTGAAATCTTGCATTCATGTGTCGTTTGTCAGTGAATGTGGCCTCCCTGAAGCTGGTTTGGACTATGGTGGTCTATCAAAGGAGTTCTTAACTGATCTGTCCAAGGCTGCCTTCAGTCCAGAGTACGCCTCCTGGGAAATTACAAGCCCTTTAATCTTTTGTTTCTCCAATGCAGAAGCTTTGATATTATCTTTTTTCTTCTTCTTTGAACAGATATGGACTGTTTACACAAACATCAACATCTGATAGTAGCATAATTCCAAGCAGTTCCGCTAAGCTTTTGGACAATGGCATTGATATGATTGAATTTCTTGGTCGAGTTGTCGGCAAAGCACTCTATGAGGGGATCCTCTTGGACTACTGTTTTTCACAAGTATTTGTGCAAAAACTTCTAGGGCGCTATAGTTTTTTGGATGAATTATCAACACTTGATTCTGAACTTTACAGAAGTCTAATGCAACTCAAGGTATTCTAGTATTTAATATGGTTCCTTTAAAACGCTGATCAAGTTAAATGTTGTGAGCTTTATGGGTATTTCAAAAAGTAATTCTTAGCATGCTCTTCCAATCTTGAAATGTCTAACCATTTAGTATGTTCAAGATAGGTAGTTACTGGAACCTCTAGCAGTCAATACCAGAGATTTGGAAGCTATTTTAGGAATAGAAACCGCTCCATGGTCGATCCTGCTTCTCAACAAGTGTGGCAACAGCTCGAGAACCCCCAACATAATTTTGGATTCAAATTTGCTAACCGTTCAAACTGGACAAAGTTAAATTTTGATTTTTGAATCGGAGTGGTCTGGGATTCTCAGGGACACCAAATATAATGAACATTTTTCGTCTGTTTGCTGAACCCTGGTCAATACCATGCATTTATTACAATTCAATGATTCATCATATAACTTTGGCAAATATTTCCTCGTCTATTAAACCTCAGCAAAGTTTGTTGTGGTTTTTTGGATTAATAATTATGTATTAACTCGTACGACAACGGTAGATCTCCCTATAGATGTAGACTAAATATGGCATTCAGTGAGGTATCTTTCTGAGTAAAATCCGATGGACACATTTTGACAACAACTCTATACTGGGTTTTTCATCAAACAGCACTATGACGGGGACGTCGAAGAACTTTGTTTGGATTTTACTCTGACTGAAGAGTTAGGCGGGAAAAGAATCGTGCATGAACTGAGACCGGGTGGCAAAAATATCTCTGTTACAAATGAAAATAGATTGCACTATGTTCATGCGATGGCAGACTACAAGCTTAACCGCCAGGTTTGTTACTTCACTCATATTTGTAATGATTTAAAAGCTTTTATTCTGTATCAGTAAGCAATCTTCTGATAAAATCGTAAACCCTGCAGATACTTCCGTTTTCAAATGCATTTTACAGAGGACTTAGTGATCTCATCTCACCATCTTGGCTGAGCTTGTTTAATGCAAATGAATTTAACCAGGTAACCCTCTCATTCTTTGTTGATACTACTGAACCTGAATTGCCGTTTATGGTTGATCCTCGAAGCGGATTTAGAATTCCTTAAACTGGAATGGTAGAGATAAATTCTGAGATTATAAACTTGAATGCAAATATCAACATTTAAGATCAAAATTATTGAGTTTGCTATATTATGTTACAATTTTATAAATCAAAATTATTGATTTAAATAGCAGAAATCAAAATAGTACTTTAAGTTGAATCTGAGAATACTAATTTTGGGCCAAGGCCCAAACTATCAGTAATGTAGTGATGATGATAAGCCCCGAAAGTAGTAATATGGTTGACATGTAGGGAAAATTTGAATATATATATACACCCCTTGGCCCTTGCTAAGATAGTAGTATAGTACACTTATGCACTTCAAAAATTGAATATTTATAGTATAGAAACATGTTAGATGGTTAGAGTATGTGTAATTGCCAACCTTTGCACAAAAATATGATCAGATGTGAACTTTACAAGGAAAAACAGCTATAAGTCTACTTCCTTTTTTGTAGAGCTCTTAATTGCATGTGCACAAATTCTCGGTTCTTAAAATCTATTTGCAAGCTTCTATTTCTGCTATCTGCTATAGCAATTGCAGTTTAGTAGTTTGCATTTTTACGCCCCTGTTTACAGTGCTAATGTATGATTGCCACATACACAGTTACTTTCAGGTGGATCTCAGGATTTTGATGTTGATGATCTGCGGAACAACACCAAGTACACTGGTGGCTATACCGAGTCAAGTCGAACTGTTAAACTCTTTTGGGAGGTATGTGAAGTTGTCTCATTTTGGCCATTTAACTCGATGCATCACAGACCTTGGGTGTCCAAGCTTATATCTAGGTACAATCGTACAAACTCCATTGGACCAGTAGATGGCACAGACTTTAGTATTGAGAGGGTGGTTCCGACGTAAATAACTTGCCAGTATATGAGTTGATTAGTAATGAAGTTTCTGACCACGTGACACTAGTCCCCAATCGCTTATCGAACTGCCAAACATAAAATACAAGAAATAGTAGGCATGCGTTTACAGGAGATATATTTCTCTTATGTATATAGCTTGATAGCTACGAGAATACTCTTTTCTTTTGACCGGCCAGCTTTTCATACTGCTGAAAACTTTGGTTGGTACCCTATGCCATTGCTGTCATGCTACATGTCCAGGCTATTAGCTCGCGGAGCTCGTGGGCTCTTTTCTTTTGTGCTAAAAAGATGGTAACTGTGTTGAATATATGATGGGCATGCTTTGCTGCCCCCGTTGGCATGCACTACACACAACCATCTGGTATAGCCAAATACTCCCTCCGTTCCTAAATGTAAGTCTTTTTAGAGATTTCACTACAAACTATATACGGATGTATATAGACATGTTTTAGAGTGTAGATTCACTCAATTTGCTCCTTATGTAGTCCATAGTGGGTTCTCTAAAAAGACTTATATTTAGGAACGGAGGGAGTAGTATCTGTTTTGCTGAGCAACTGCAATGCAAATATAATATCTTACCGTGCTGAATTGAAACGGGCCGTAACAGCGTGTGAAGCACTGGAACATGCAGGTTATCAAAGGGTTTAAGCCGACAGAACGCTGCCTGCTACTGAAGTTTGTGACGAGCTGCTCGCGAGCCCCGTTGCTCGGATTCAAGTACTTGCAGCCTGGTTTCACAATTCACAAGGTTGGATCAAGCAGGCCGAGAAAAGCCTTTTGTTTCTCCCTCCCAGCAGCTTGGTTGGTATATTCAAAAGTTGCATGTGTCCTTGTTGTTTACCTAGGTTCCATGCGATGTGACACTTTGGGCTTCAATCGGAGGGCAAGACGTGGACCGCCTCCCATCTGCTTCGACATGCTACAATACGCTCAAGGTACAACCCGCCGTACGGTACCCCTGTCTCGTCTTTGCGCCCGGATGCTTTCGAAATATGCCAAAGTCGAGATTGATTATTCGGCATCCTAACCTGTCCGAACAGCTCCACATTGGGCGTTATTGACCACCACGGCATGTAATTCTCCTTTGTTTCTTTGGAAAATCGCTGCAGCTTCCGACGTACAAGCGGTCGAGCACGCTGAGGAGCAAGCTGCTGTACGCGATCAGCTCAAACACCGGGTTTGAACTGTCGTAGGCGGTGGAGGTACGTTTGCCGTGCGTGCTCTGCTGCTGTGAATAGATTGGAGAGAGGCGCAGCGAAATTGTATCAGAAACCTGAACATCTTGCCGTAAATGTATTGTTGTGCTTGATCACTGATTTGTTTTGGGTGGAGTGGATTGTCATGAGCCGATGTTCGACCCCTTTTTTGTCTACCTTTGTGGCTGATTTTTAACTACAGATATATTGTATATAAAATAAGCAGAGCGCAACACGGTATGAAAATTGTCGGAGACTTCCGGTTGAAGGATTATTTGAAAAGAAAGATTGTTTACTCCGTCTGATCCGAATTAAATGGCGCAGCCTCTAGCAGTTCATGCCCCTTGTGTGTTATCTTTGAAAATCTTTTGTTTCTTGACGCCTTTGTTCAACATTTTTATTGATAATAATGCCACACGGATAATAACTACTCCCTCCTTCCATTTATATAAGGCCTAATGCGTTTTTTAAGATCGCCTTTGACTATTGACAAGATTAATAGTACATGACATGCATAATATGAAAATTATATCATTGAAAGCTCCTTTCACACACGAATTTAACGATGTGCTTTGTGTAAGTTGCATGTCATATATTATTGCTTTAATATTTGATCAAAGTTAGCCTCGAAAAACGCATTAGGCCCTATATAGATGGAAGGAGGGAGTAAATAAAATCAGCAAAAGCCTAGTTTTCAGTGCCGCTATATTACATTACGGACCACATTCACATCACACAAAGCACGGAAACACAGTAGTAGTACCTAGTAGTAGTTCAAAGCAAACAAAACAGCAGGAGAGACGATCCGGTAGTAGAGATCACAAGCAAGAAAAGCTCTGAAGTAAACAGACAGACATGCACAAGACGGCCGGTGCGGTGTCAGTCATGGCATGAGCGCCATTGGAGCGACGAGGAAGGAAGGACCGATGGAGCAGCTAGCTAGGAGATGAGCTGCAGCCCCTGGAGGAGCAGCGCGTCGGCGAGCACCTTGTTGGCGGCGTCGGTGGGGTGGAAGCCGTCCCAGAAGACGTAGCCGGTGGCGTTGGCGCACGTCCCCGGCGCCCCCTGGTGACACAGCACCGACGTCTCGATCGTCCCCGTCCCGCAGCACGCGCGCCGAGACTCGAAGAACCCTGCAGTGCAGTGCATCCATCAAATCACTTCATCAGTAAGTTCATCAACCATTGACACATCAACCAGGCGTACGTCGGACGGATCACGTACCGGCGCTCATGGGGTCGGCGACGAGGTTGAGCAGCGGGTTGTAGATGTCGAAGACGACGAGCTTGAGGTCCGAGTGCCGCTTCTTGGCCGCGTCCGACGCCGCCTGCAGCTTGGCGTTGAAGGTGAGGGAGTCGTTGTTGAGCCGCTCCACGCAGCCGCCCCCGCCGCCGCCGCCGAAGAGGGTGACGGACGCCGGCAGGCACCCCATGGGCGGCAGCGACGTCACCCCGATCCGCCGCGCTCCCAGCCCGTACAGCCTCTGCATGCATGCAACCGTTTTAGTTCATGGATGCCATTCATTCAGTCACTCGTCACACTCCATAGTAGTACCAGTACAGTACGTAGTACGTACGAAGTGACCAGCTCTTGCCTGTTTGTTTCTTTCTACCCCAGGTGTACGCGGTTCTATATCGAAATTGCTTCACGGACGACAGTCTACGCACGACTTGAGAACGATACCTTCTCTCCTACTTGCTCCGTTCCTAAATATAAGTCTTCCTAAATATAAGCCTTTTTAGATATAAGTTTTTCTATATATTTCAACAAGTGACTACATGAAAAACAAAATGAGTGAATCTACGCTTTAAAATAATATGTTTACATACATCCGTATGTTGTAGTTCATTTAAAATGTCTAAAAAGATTTATATTTAGGAAGCGGAGGGAGTACATGGCCGTTGCATGCATGCACTGGCGAGTGTGCCTCATTACTGTTATGATCTAGCAGCCAGCGACCAACCGTGTCAGCGTCTTCATGCAGGCAGGAACAAGGCCGGTCCGCCATGCATGTGACGCGGTAAGCTGTTGAAAACTATAGCTAGTAATGGCGGGCATTGACCGTGGGTGCGAGAACGGTCGCCATTGCAGGGTCAGGGCATCTCCAGCCGTTGGCCCCCCAGGGGGCGTCTAAAAGCGCCACCTGGGGGTGAGCCGGCGAAAAAAAGGCCCTGGGGCGAGTCGTCGCCCAGCCGTCGACCCCCAGGGCCGCTAACAGGCGAGTGCAAAAAAAAATAGGGAGGGCCCGTTCGGCGAAGATATGACGAAGAACAGTTAAATTACGTCCGAACATGGCGAATTTCGGCCAAATTCGCCCATTTTCATTGCATTATTAAAACCTAAGCTAATTTAAAAAAGAAATGCGCTGAAGTCGTCGGCGCCGTCGCTGCCATCGTCGTCGTCGGCCTTCTCCTCCTTGACGTGGACGCCCCGGCTGGACCCGACGTCGCCATGGTGGACTGGCGGCGGCGCGTCGTCGTCGTCGCTGTCGCACAGGACGACGACTCCGCCTTCGTCGCGGCCGCGTCGTCGCTCCGCGAAGCGGCGCAGTTCGGCGCGCTGGCGCTCCTTCGCCTTCTCCCGGCGCGCCTTCTCCATCGCAATGGAGTCCTGGCGCGCCCATTCCAGGACCGCGTCGTCGTCGACGAGTTCCGCCGTCGCCAGCGCCAGGCCTGGCTCCGTCTTCACTGGCACCAGCCCCGGTTCCGTCTTCACTGGCACCATTCCCGGCTCCGTCTTCGGCTTGACGAAGCGCGGAGGAACAGAGGACGAAGCGCGCCGGCCGCCCTCGTGGATGACGATGCCGGCGCTGCGATTGCGCCGACCGAGCGGTGACTCCGACGCAGGCTCGGCCTTGACGGCGAGCAGGGCCGGGGTTCCGGAGGAGTGTGAGGAGGATCGGGAGGAGGAAGAGGAGGAGGCTGACCCGAACCGCCTTGGCGCCCATGCCCCGGCGCGCCGGTGCGTCGCCGGGGGGTATGCCAACGGTGGGTCGTTGCCGCCCTCGAGGTGCGTGAGCACGCCCCACCAGAGGTGGCGCCCCTCGCTGTTCTGCCGCCCGGCGACCACAGGCGCGCCGTTGGTGGACGCGAGGCGCTGCTGCTGTCGGCGCTCGAAGTACGCCGCCCAGGCGGCGTGGTTGTCGGCGGCGTACTGGGGGAGGGACCGTTCGGCGTCGGTGAGGGACGCGCGGACGACGTCAACCTCGTTGGCGAAGTACTCCGGCTTCGCCGCGGCGTCGGGCAAAGGGGGAATGGGCACCCCCCCGGCGCTGAGCCTCCATCCCGACGGCCCGGCGCGCATGTCCGGCGGCGCCGGGATGTTCGCCTGGAACAGAAGCCAGGACTCCTGGAGGCGAAGCGAACGGCGGCCGAAGCCGTTGGCCGCCGCCTCGTCCCCTGGGAAGCGTTCGGCCATGGCGTCGGCGACGGTGCGCGGGAGAGGCAGGGAGAGGGAGGGCTGGACGGCGGCGAGGGGGGCGGGGGCGGGGCTGGTGTGCACAGGAAGCGGAGTGGAGGCCACCGGCTTTTATAGCCGGGGCCGCGCCGTGTGTACGCGTGCGAGGGAGGGGAGGCGTCGGCGCCGCCCCGTGACGCGCCGCCCGTGAAGGAATCAATGGCAAGGCTGACCGGCGGCAGCCTTGCCATTGATTCCCGCGGAACCCGAGGCCGTTGGGGGAAGACGAGGCGCCGGGGTCGCTGACGCGGCTGGCCCGCGGCTTCTTCGCGCCAAAACAACTCGCCCCGGCGCCCCCGGGCGCCCCCCAGCACGCCGGGTTCGGGCTGGGTCCGCCGGCGCTGTTTTCGGCCCAAGCCGGCGATTTTCGGCGTCCTGGGGGCGCGACTGGGCCGTTTTTTCGGCGCCGGCGCGAGAAAATCGCCTGGGGAGGCCTTCTTGGGGGCGCGGCTGGAGATGCCCTCATGTGCGTGGTAGTAAAGGAGGCATGCAGATGCAGGGAAATGTTGCAGGTTTTGCCTTGGCATGGATGTGAATCCATGGACATATGTATCCATCCATGGTGCAGATGCATTTACCTTACCAGGATTGGTGAGGGAGAAGAGATCATGCAACAGGGACCGATGCCGCGCGCTGTGTTTTCGCACATGGGTGCACCAGGGTATGATCAGGAGGATAAGGGCAACGGGAAAATTACCGCCTGTGCGTGCGTGGTGGTTGAGGCCGCCTAAATTTGTGATGGGTGAAATATGTCTGTACCGTGCCCATGAGGTAGGGCTAGTGTTGCACCCTGCTCGTCAGAAACCACCAACCCATGTTGGTTGAGCAGCGGAGTTACTGAGGCCATTCAATCCCTCCCTGCGGTCCTATCCATAGCACTGTGGCCTTCAATCCATTTACACACTCTACTATACTGCTACTGCAGGTTATTCAATTGCCTGTCTGCTCCAGATTCAAGTTTCACCATAACTCCATCTCACTCTACACTCTAGTGCAAGCAACTATCACCACCTTTTAACTAGATTGGCTAATTTGAACTATGCATGCAGTAACCTCAGCATGCACCAGCACGTACTATATATATATGGTGCACTAGTACTTTGTTAAGAGGAAAGTCTATATTGCTTTGCAAAATGATCTGAAATCCAAAATTAATTTACCCCCTAATTAATTACACCCCCGTTTCCTAAATATTTGTCTTTCTAGATATTTCAAATGGACTACAACATTCGGAGTACGAGCTCAGTCCTCAGCATGCACCAGCACTACAATATTTTAGAGTGTAGATTCATCCATTTTGCTTTGTATGTAGTCACTTGTTGAAATCTCTAAAAGGACAAATATATTTGGGAACGGAGGGAGTAGCTAGGAAGTAACTTCATTTTATCTAGAACTAGAACAGTCAGACAACTTGGTGCCAGCAACTGAGAGATATGGTTAAATTGACCATGCATTTTCGATTCATCTAGTACCATTAATTCTACCAAGAGCAAGACTCATCATGAACATCACTTTTTTTTTTGCGGCGGGGGGAATGAACGTCACTTGCTGCTTAGTGGCTGGTGATTAGTTAGCAGCTAGTTACCTCGACGAAGGCGGTGAAGGGTTGCATGAGCGCGTCGGCGAACTGGTCCGGGGTGTAGGCGGCGGCCAGCATGGCGTTCACGTAGTAGTTCTGCACGTAGTCGCTCGTCCCGGCGCTCACCACGTAGATGGACCCGGACGTGAGCGCCGCCGCGCGCTTCTCGCCGGCCACCGCCGCCACCTTGGACTGGTACTCCTTGAAGTAGTCCAGCTGCCGCCCCAGCGAGATGGCGCCCTGCATCGTCCGTGAATTCATTTATTTTACACACACACACACACACACACTAGCTCAGAAATTTTATGAGATGAGTTGGTGGCGTACGTAGAGCGCGGCGGTGGCGTCGAGGTAGCCGGCGGCGCCGGAGGCGAAGTTGGCGCCGTGGAGGAGGGTCCTGTTGTCGCTCTGCGCCTCGTCGCTGAGGTACGCCGGCGGGTACGAGCTCAGCCCCAGGCTCTCCACTGCATGCCAAACAGTTGAGTTCACCACGAGTCCACGACACGTATGCCATTAATTTCGTCATTATCTCATGCAAATTAATACTGCTAGTCCATTGAACCATCGAAGAAGGTGACAAGAAAACTGAGAGGACGGCCGGAGGTGAATGCGTACCGGTGTAGTCGGTGGCGAGCTTGCCGTTGCAGAAGCGGCCGGTGGGCGCGTGGGTGGCCGGGAAGTCGCGGCCGTAGGGCGGGAAGTCGGCGCGCACCAGCGTGGCCAGCCGGTTGTTGTTGCCGGCGTCCACCACCGAGTCCCCGAAGATCATCACGCCCGGCACCAGCGCCTGCCCCGCGCACCGCGACGACAACGACGCCGACAGCAGCACCAGCAGCAGCGGCGCCCACGCCACAGCGGTAGCCATGTGGAAGATCTGCCGCTGCATTCACCTACGCGCTTCAACTGGCACTCGTACGCACGCGCGTGGTTTTGGAGGGAAACTGCGCACTGGGTAGTAGATGTAGACCGACCGTGGGGGAGCTGTGCTGCTTTCGGTTGACAGACGCGGGCGGCCGGCCGGTGGTGTGGGTGCGAGCGTGAGTGTGGGTGAGGGTGGTTCTAAAGACTAAAGGAAGAGGCCGGAGGAGGGTGAGAGAGGGACGCGTACCGTACCGGTCAGTGTGGATCTCATCTGCGGTATTCAAGACCCATCGAGTTACTGCTGCCTTGGGAGGGTAGAAAAAGGGGGTGGTGGGTTCCGGTGGGTGGGGATCGGGGGAAAACATTCATGACACAAATTAACATCCTAGCCGCCGGCCACCTTGCAAATTTTGGGTCTGTTTGGTTGGAGACTAGTGTGGCCAAGCCAAAGTGTGGCTAGCCACACAAGTATGGCAAGCCACACAAATGTGGCTAAAAATTTGGACGTCAAATTTTGGCAAAAGTTGACAAAAAAAAATTGTCTCTTTGACAAGTGGGTCATAAGAGCAATAAAGTGTGGCAAGCCAAAATGTGGCAAAAACCAAACACATGCTTGGCAAACTGTGGCTGCCAAATTTTGGCTTGGCAAACTGTGGCTGGGAACCAAACATCCCCTTTGTTTTGGTTGTGTCCCTCTGGCGGAGCCTCAAGTTAAGGCTGGTCATAGTGGGAAGTAACTTATACTAGTGTCATGCATATGACACTAGTCTAAGAGGGTGCTTGGATCCAAGAGACTTATTTTAGTCTGACTAAAAATAGTCTCTTTAAAAGGCTAAAGTTCCAAGCACCCCTGACTAAGGCTGGTCATAGTGAGGAGTAACTTAGAGTAGTAATATGCATACGTTACTACTCTATGTTACTACCCTTATAGTGGGAAGTGTCATATGTGTAGTAACATACACATGTTCATTTATTGTCTTGTAGACTCATTTTGCATGGGAAAGCGCTATGTGATGGTAACATATTAGGTTACCCTATTTGCCTCTCTCCTCATTAACTACTTGTCACATCAACATTTTTGCTTATGTGGCATCTATGTTACTGCCTATGTTACTCCCACTATGACCAGCCTAAAAAGGGCTAAAACTAGTCTTGAGACTAATTTTTTTTAGTCAGGGTACCCCTACTAAAATGTGGTATAGTTCTCTCTCTCCTCATTTAACTCCTCTCCTTTAACACAGACGAATTCTGGATTGGAGGGTTTGAAGGATAATAAATGCTCATTAACTTGATTTTAGTCTCTTTAGTATTTGGATCCAAGCATGGGTGAGGCTAGCAAGTTTTAGTCCCACTACTTTTAGTCATGGAACTAAAACGTATCCAAGCACCCGCTAAGTTACTACCTCCATATATAGTGCAAAGTAACATACTAGTAGTGTCATAGATGGCTTCATTTATTAGCTCATAGACTCATTTTGCCTCGGGAAGCGCTATGTTACAGTAACATACTCCCTCCGTCTAGGTGAGTAAGTCATCTTAGGTTGTGCACCGTGACCAAGGATGTCGTAGAATTATCACGTCAGATGTCCTAGTGTGAGGACTTAGTCGTCAGGCCAACGCATCTATGTGGTAGCTTGAGAGGGGTTGGGCGGAATCGAGAGACGCAACACGCAAGACAAAGGATTTAGACAGCTTCGAGCCCCGGGAAACATCATCCGATAATAGCCCTACATGTTGTTTGTGGCTAGGTCTTATTATCCTCATGAGGGAGTCGCCGTAAACCGGCTCTCCTCTAGTTGTGTCTAGCCCTAAGATTGTTTCTTCTTGCTCTCCCCCCTTTGGGGAGCCCTGCCCCTCCTTATATATGTTGAAGGGGCGGTTTACATGACTAGTCCTAGTTGGATTAGGATTACTCTATTACAAGTGGAGTCCTAGTCTTGCTTCCTTTGTAGGAGAATATTCCTTGTGCTTTCCTCATAAACCGGCCCATCATAATCATGAACCGGTCTTCCATAAACCGCCTTCTGGGCCACCGGGTCTTGTCGTTCCTCTGACCCGCTCGCCGGGTCACCCATGAGTCGCCAGGCTCGGGCGGGTCACTTAGCGAGTCGTCCAGTCAGGGCAGGTCCTTAGTGAGTCGCCAAGTCCGGCTAGGTTATACTTCCGGCCGGGTTACGCCGCGGGGTATATCCCCGACATTAGCACCCAGTTTAATTTGGATTTATTCACGTTAAACTAATCTGCAACATAAACACAAGAACAAATTTGGCGGCTTGTGCTCCGGGTTAAATATTCTTATAAACTAGCGCTTGATCATCCTTAAATCCTTGTCATTTCTTCCTTCTAGAAAATCCGGGTCAGTAGACCAACTTCATAATCAATTTGCTTGTAGAAGAAATATTGTAAATAAAGAATCCATTTGACTCGGCCTTCAATGCTCTGACTTGACAAAAATATTGGTCTTCAAATATTCAACTGATATTCAGCCGACTTAAAATGTAGACCTTGCCGATATATAATTTCCAAAATCGTCGGGTTATAAAAACTGATAATTCAGGGTCATGATTGTTGCTAACGCCGGCTCATGATCATTGATGACGCCGGGTTATGATTGTTGCATTACCGGGTCATAATGATTGGTGACGCTGGGTCAATAATTGTAGGTGATGCCGGATCATAATTGTTGCAGACGCCGGGTCAATTTGGTTTGCTCAAAACTGAAAATTGGAAGATATTTCTCCCTTATATCCATATTACCTGTAGCCCCCAAGTCTTTAGCAGAACAAAGTGATGATTTGAGACTTGTTTCCATATAATTACTACCACTTTGAAGAAATCCATGTTGTTCATCTCAGTCACTTGTAAAAACTTAATACTCCATATATGTAGCCCCCAAGTGTCGAGTTGTCATACTTGCAGCAACCTGGGACTTGTAATTGCCTGATGCTCAAAAAACTTCAACTAGTGTAGCCCCCAAGGGCCGGGTCATTATGTAATAATGAGCAGGGACTTTGTAAATATAATCATGTAAACTTTGAACAGGAACGTGTAGCCCCCAAGGGCCGGCTCAGTAAGATAATATTGAGCTGGGACTTGATATATACTTCAATTAAAATAACATCATATGATGTAACCCCATCATGGGGCTTGAATCCACGTCCACAAGGTTAAAAGCCTTGTTCTTTACCAACTGAGCAGTGGACCCTTCAATATAATGGATAAAAAGTTTTGTACCTTGAATAGTTGACAGGAGCAATTGGTAGCCCCCAAGGGCCGGCTCATTACGATGTGATGAGTCGGGTCTTCAATAAGGTGAGCAAACAATGACTTTGCATTAGCCCTCAAGTGTCATGGTGCATGCTTGCAGCGACATGAGACTTGTGTATGTGATGTAATCTCAACTGAAATAATGTAGCTCCCAAGTGCCGGGTCGTAAGCTTGCAGCGACTCGGGACTATTCCTTCAATTGTAGAATAAATCATATCCATTGATAATATGATAGCCATTGCGCTAAAGCGACTTTGAAAACCTTAATCATAATACTGGTTATTGTAAGTGCATCTAGTGCCCCTTAGTGATTTTGGTGTATTGAAGACTTATAGGTTAAGGGACTGATGCGTTTGTGAGTGTACACAGGTCTATAAGTCTATGAGGAGTTTGATATTTATAGAGAAAGTCGACCCCTAAAAATGAAGTTCTTCGACTGAAGACTTTGATATTCTGAAGACTTTCTGAAGACTTTGAAAGTGAAGAAATTGGTGTGACCTTGAAGACTTGGTTTTCATTCGAGGAACAAGAAGCGTGAAGACTTTTGTTTTCGTAGTTTCATTTTCTCTTTATTGAGTCATAGGAAACACCGTACTGTTAAAGGGGGTCGAGGAAATACTAAGGAAAAATTTCCATGTGATGCTCAACTCAAAATCCTACACCTACCAATCCCTTCGAGTGAAGCCATTGGAAATCTCATACAGTTCAGTCATTTTCTTCAGTGACAGAGACGCAGTTCTTCTGGTCTCTGATGACTTTGCTCTGACTGAGGAGTTAGCAATTCGCCAGTGCGAATTGCCTACACAGTGAGGAACATGATAGCCCTGAGGAATTTGAGAGTCAAATTTCCGACCGTTGCTGTGCTACGCGCCGGTTGTCCCAAAATATCTTATCCACCTAACGGTCATATCATTGAAGGGCATTTATGTCTTATCATGTCGGGCTGCTCCCTAGGCTATAAATAGCCGCCCCCTACAACCACTAGTTGGTTGGCTGCTCCAAGAGAACTTGACACTTGTCATTTGAGAGCAACCCATCCTCCGAGGACTTTGAGAGAAAATCATCAAGTGAGGAAAATCCCAAAACCAAACCCCCACAAACCCAAAGTGATTGAGCATCACTGAAGAAATTGATCCTGCGTGGATCCGACGCTTGTTACCTTTGAAGACTGTGCTTCTTCCAGACGGTTAGGCGTCAAGGTCTAGAGCATCCAAGAGGAATTGTGGATCGCCGAGTGACCAAGTCTGTGAAGGTTTGGAAGTCACCTGAAGACTTACCACGAGTGATTGGACGAGACCTGCGTGGTCTTAGTTCAAGGAGAATACGGTGAGGACCGAGTGTCCTGAGTTGCGGCTCAGTGACTGGGTGTCCGGGACTACGTGTCCTCGAGTTTAAATACTCAGCCGCTCCAACCAGACGTACAACTGAGACAGCAGTTGGAACTGGTTTACCAAATCACTGTCTTCACCAACTAACTGGTTCTATCTCCTCAACCCTTTCATTTCCTCATTACTGTGTTGAATGTTTGTTCATATCTGTGCTTGAAGACTTTGACTGAAGACTTTCTCAAATTCCTCAGTTCAATTTCTTCAGTCTGTTTGTCTTCATCTTGTGTTATCTTGTGATTACGCTTTCTGTACTCTGTGCTTGTCTTCATTTCATCATGATGACCATGCTTGTATTCTGTTATGCTTACTTCTGAGTACTTATTCCGCTGCAAGTAGTTCTTCGCTAAGGAATTTCCTCACCAGCAAATTC